GGGGGGGGGGGAGGGCTCTATTTTCTTCATGATCGGAAGACGACAAAGAAATCATGAAAAATCTGTTCTTCGAATGTGCTAATAACGTCCACGCGCATTTCGCGCGACGGGTGAAACGATACACCCTGTCGGCCTGGGAAAATAGGAAAAATCTCCAAGAAGATAGATCATGGAAGCTCCGCAACACCCTCATTTCGCTCTCACCATTTAGCCCGCGGACGTCATTCAACCCTTTCCGCGATGTCCGCGGGCCAACAGTGCCAACAACCACCCACTCCTCCCCCCGCGTCCCGGAAGCATCCTTCCGCAGTAATTAGGAGCGGTCAAAAACTCTGACGGGCGAAGTAGCCGATAGTTCTGGGTCAAGCGCCGCAGGGAGGTCACGCGGTAACTACATGGCCTTTGCGGCTCCTCGTCGACGCCGGGCTTTTGGTATCTCCCTGTGCACGATGAGCATCTATTTTTAAGCGCTAAGATTGCGCCCGTAGAAGAAGCGCATGAGATCGCGGGTAGCTGTCGGAAGGGCCTCGATTAAAAATTTCATCAGCCGCGCGCCCGGACAGGTGGTGCGGCGCGGCCAACGATGACGGTGGTAGCAGCGGTAACGCAGCCGTCGCCGCTGCTACTGCTTGTGGCGGCGGCGGTGGCGGTGGTCGACGTAGTATGGGGGCAAGTTGAGCCCACCATCTGTCCCCGGCGCCACGCCGGACAAAGTGTTGGTCGAAGCTGATCCTCGAATACGCGCGGTTCGATCGATCGACCGCTCTCCACCACGCAGCCACTGTAAGGACGAGGTCAGGATTGCCGGTCCGGCTGCGAGTCCCGTCGCGTCCGGTTCCGCGACGTAGGGAACGAAGGGCGGAGAAGGTTTCGGCGCGGGCAAGGTGTGCGGGCTCGTCGACGCGGAGCGACACGGCCGCGCGCGGCCGCCCGGTGCCGTGACAAAACTTTCGCCGCACTGCGGACCCTATTGATTTTCCGGAGCGTCGGGGAACGGGAGCTCTACTCCGCTACTCCCGCTTGGCGCGGTGTAAATAAACAAGGAAACCTCGCCACCGGCTCTCTCCTTCGCACGCCTCGGCCCGGTGTCCCTCGCCGAGCGATTCCGAGCGTGTCGTTTCGCGGAAGGAACACGAGCGAAAGAACAGACAGACGTACGGACGGCGACACCTGTTTACCTCCTTTTTTGCGCGATCATCGCGCGCGGTTTCTTCTCCCGCGTGCGCTCGCTCGACCTGACGACATTGGGATGTCGGAAACGAGCCGCAAAAACACGCGTCAGTCGTTTCCGGAGACGAGAGAGAGAGAGAGAGAGAGATTGTTCGTGACGCGCTTCTTTCCCCCATTGATCGAGCCGTCCGCCGGATTCAGGAGAGGGTTGCTTGGTCTCATGAGAAGCGCGTCATCTCGAACAGACGCGTGTTAGGGTATCTAATGGTATGTGTGTACATGTGACGGGCTGATTTCTTGCGTCCCGAAGCGGAGAAGTAGCAAGTGGTCGAACGGTCGCGCTGTTCTAGCGGAAAATCGCCGGAAAAACGGACAGCGGAGTGTCCATGGCCGAGGAACGGGGCTGCGCTATTATCCCCGATCATTTGCATCGTGACCTAAATACGATAATGCCGCCGTGAGAACCCGGGCTTCGTCGCCTAATTTTACACGGAGCTTTCCAACACGTCGGTGCGCCAATTAATCCTCTCTCTCTCTCTCTCTCTCTCTCGCACGCGCATGTATAGCGCGCGATTCTCACACGGCTGAGGGCGTCGCGACAGCCGGGTGACAAAGCGCGTCAATTGCTATGTCCACGTGGAATTACCAAGTCCGAAGGACACCGGGGGCCAGCTATTATGGCAGGAGGAAACGACAGGACATCGATCAGTTCGACGACGAACGCCCTGTTTCCGGGCAGGCATGAGCGACGCGCCGGACCCGCTAGGTCATCGTCGACGGCTCGCCGACGGGGAGGATGGGGAAGCATGGGGGATGCGAGGTCACGGTTATTATTCCTCCGGGCCGATATCGCACCGATATTATTAAGATCCGCTTACCTTCCTTCGTCGGATGAGACGTCTCGTCGAAAACCTCCCTGCACACGATCGTAGCGGCGCTATCTTGAGAGATGCTCATGCTAATAACGCGAGCACACGCCGACACCCCGTGAACGTGAACGCGAGTGTGACCTTACGCATTATACGCGCGGCTTGTTGCGGTTTCTCTCTTTCCTATCGGTTTTACGCGTGAGACGCGCGCGACGGAGCGACCGTACGTCGACTCGGTTTTTCCATATCGGCGACGTGTGTACGTACGTGCGCGCCTTTTGCACCGCGCGAGGCTTGTGCGTCGGCGGTCAATGTTGAATTCAACTTGAACGTAGGCGGCGGTAGGACGGAGAGAGACAGACGGTGAGGTAGATAGAGAGAAAGGGTGGGAGGTAAAGAGAGAGAGAGAGAGACGCTGCTCGCGCCCCCGGTTGTCAGTTGCGGAAGCAGCTGGCTGATAAGGAAACTCGCCGCCGTTAGCGATGGCAAGTTCGCTCTTATCATCGAGAGGCTCGTCGATGATAAGAGACCGCCGCAGGTACGCGAACGTACGCGTGTGACCGCTCGCAAGCAGCCTTCACGGCGAGAGTCCCTGTGCCGGAGGTCGATCCGCCCGCAGGATGACCTTGAAGCGCGAACCCTGCGGAGACGATAGCCGTGGTGACCTTTAACGCTCCGGTTGGCATTCGGATTTCTTTGTCAGATTAATGTTTATTCTTCACGCGAAACAACTGCCTGGCTTATAGATATTTTCAAATCTCACGATTACGTCATCGGCTTTACGTTTTCAGGCAGGTGCTTGCGTAATGTAATAGGAGGCGACAAATATTTCCGATTAAAATCGCAGGGAGACAGGAAAATGTTCGTTGGCTTGAGCTCGAACGCGGAATCATAAATACGGCAGAGCGAAAGTGATAAAAGGGATATTGCGGGCATATGTCATTTTTATCGATGTGCTAATACTTTTAACGATGACGTAATGATAAGAAAACATGGGGAAGTGATAAGGATGCAATAATGCGGGGAAACGTAAACATGGAACATAGTGGCTCTTTCAAATGGGAACCCGCAAATCCGACACGCTTCCTAGCTATTATATAATTGAGTTATCATGTGTCGGAAATTTCAAATGCCTCGGAAGAAATACCTTTCGTTAAGACATGTTTATAAATTAAAAAGTAATTATTATATTACATATATTAATTATATCATGTTCAAATTATAATATATATTCATGAACAAGTATAAAAAAGGTTATGAATGTTAAAGCATTTTTTTCAATCAATATATGCATATTTGAATGCACTTGTGTGGTTTATTAATATTTTCAAAAATGTCCGTACTTCTGTAAGTATTTCTATATTAATCTTATCAATATTAATAAAAATATTCTTATATTACTTTCTAGATTCTGCTGATATATTGGAATATTTCTATCGACTATAGGTAACAAAATTAAGTGATAAAAGAAAATATATCATTTATAAATATAATACGTGAAACTTTGATTGAATATTGTTTATCTGTAGAGCCGATTAAAATTGTAAAAAATATTAAAATATAATAAACATATGCGTGTTCATTCACTTTTTTACCTTTAGGAAAAAAACTTTCTGCTCTCTGTTCATGTTTTACTGTGTCTGGTTAGAACGGAATACATCTTGATCTCCGATCTATGAATAGTGTAAGGAAGATATAGAAGATAGAGATATACATGTAAGATGTGATATATTGAGAGA